GCGGCCGGTAACGGTCGCGGCCGGTAACGGTCGCAGGGCGGCGGCTCGAGGGGAGCCCGAACCGCGCGGCGCTGCGGGGCGTCCCGCGACCCACAGCGGCGCCCGTGGGTTCCCCCTAAGCACCGCAGGGGCCCTGGCGCTGAGGCGAGCGCTCCTGGCACACGCTTGGACACTTAATCCTCGTGCTTCAGCGTCGCGCTGAAAATTTTAGCGCTGTTTTGGGCTSTTTTTACTCGCTGTGCGTCACCGGAGCGTTTAATGCTATTTGTTCAGTGTGCATAGCTTGTGTGCGCCCACAGGAGTGTTCCAGGCTTCAGGTAGTAAAACATTTACCATCCCGTATGTGCCCGTGCAAATCTCTGCCCTGACTCACTCCTTCCACGCCTCGGCTAATCGGAATAAACTTGACGGCGCGCAAGGGGAAATAGCAGGGCGTTAAGAGAGAACCGTAAACGGCTCCGCTTATAAAGCGCCGTGTCAGTGATAACTTAGTACTGGGAACTAAGGGGTTTCCTGCAAAGGGATTCCCTGCAAGCCCCTGCAATGCAGCGGCGTGAGTGAAAGAGCAGAAGCTGCATTCAACTGTTGATTACACCCAAAACACAGACCCCCCAGAAGGAAGTAGAAAAATAACACAATGAAATAAAGGAAAATAACAACGTGACGAGGCAGCAGCCCAGCCGGAGAGAGCTTGCACGGATGCTCTCAGCTCTCTGATGCTGAGAGAGGCAAGGGCCACGGCAAAGCACACGCAAATCCTGCTCCTTCCAGCGACACGTCCCAGATCCCCCTATGGACCTCTGGGCTGTCTTTAAGGAACCCCTGAAAGCAGTTTATTGATTTTTAATCAATAGCTTTATAGTCACTGTAGCGCAACGTGGGCCCTCACCGCAAARTATATGGGGAATTGACATTGATGTTGATAATCAAAGGGCATTAAGGCCCGACGATCTTGTTCTACTGAAGTGCAAGTTGGTGGCCAAATTACCACCAATTCCCAGGAGCCTGTTTCCTTATTTTCACACGCATAAAACAGCTGTGGTATAAAAGCTTTATCACTCCGGTTACTCCACCTTCCAGTAACTCGGTTACTGTAAATACAAGAACAATAATCCAAGCTCTGGAACTTGTCAGAAGTCAAAAAGGTAACAGACAGCAGCAAKGTGGAGAAAGACACAATCATAGCTCATGGTGTCTCTTTTTTGTTGTTGTTTCCCTGACATACAAGACTGGAATCATAAGGCTTATAAAAGCACAAGGAAAATGAAATACTGTGGCATGTAGGTCTCATGACAGAAGCCAGGAACTGAAAGTGAGAGAGAGAAAAAGAGAAAACTACCGAAAGTATAAATTATTTAATAAAATAGTCAAATATAAAAGCCATGTACAAGCATTGAAATAAACAGAGTTGTTAGTTCTTAAACGAAGCTACCAAGCAAAGAACAAATTTTATGTCTAAATTTTTTAACACTTCATATTGACACATTTTGCCCCATCACCTCACACTGCCYGTTTATTCTCCTGTTGAACTCTGGCTGTGTAAACAAAACTTGGTCCGTCTGATTTATCTTTTGGGTCTATATTACTTCCCCATGTACAAGCCTTTGCACAAGGCTCCTAACAGTGGAGATGGTTTTGAAGTCCCATCCATTGTGACCATTTTGGATCACAGCTTCATAAGCCTTGCTATCAATTTTCTGTTTTTTAAGCCTTTTTCATTAAAGCACTTATTTAAAGCGATAGTTTATTTAAATAAAAATACATTTATTTAAAGCAGTATTTAAAGCTATACTGACTGCCGGCTGTTCTGAAGGAGCAACTGTCCTATTTCTCAAGAAACCTCCTTGGGAAACGCAGGGCTAGAGTTCCATCTTGTGACCCAGCCATCGTAACTTAGGAGATGTGTGGACAAGCTCTATCAGTCAGCGAGCTGTCCAAAATTTTATAAGAGCTTTGGCTTCTCTGAATGGCATTTTCCTTCATTTCAATTCCCATTCAGAATTTCCACCTTCAGCTTTTTTTTTTCCTTTTTGTGCCCCTAATGGTTTCTGTGCTTCCCGAGGGGATTGCTAGCCCGTGAGAGGGGCTGGATTGCCAGTAGTCTTGAGATTAAATAGGTCTGTAGCTGTTAGCAGCTACAAAATTCCCAGGCTGTGAGTGCTTCTTGTGTATGCTGCAAGCAAAGCCACAGCTGTGTGTGTTTAAAAAAAAAACAGTCCTAATCTTTTCTGAAGTCAAGTTAGATCAAATGCTCTGAAAACTCCCTTTACATAAACTACAAAATAATGGAATGGACCCGGAATTGCAGTGTGAAAAAACATATGCGGTGTAACATATGGAATAGGAAAGGATCTTGATATCAGAAGTACTGATGCAGACCAGACAAAGGAAAAATAATCAACAAAAAGACTCCATCTGAAGCTCTTCTACTTGAGAATTTGCTCTGGAAGCTCAGCAAACGTGTTTTACACACCAGTTATACGCTATGCCTGCCTGTCTACGCCACTAACAAAACCAGTACCACCGGCTTTGAACTGATTGCCAGAGTTAGACCTCGCTAATAGAAATGTGAATTTCTAGCATCAAACTTCATCACCAGCCAGCTGCTACTACAGTAGCCTTCAACATTTAGATGCAAGCAGTAGCTTTGGCATTTTTGATAACATAAAACCCGTAAGAAAAAGCCGGAAGGCCGAGAATACTCCCTGGACCGAGGGGCTTTTCAGTAAGTGCTGGCAGCATTTTGTCATCCACCATCCTTAGGACACGGCCATTCAGCTTAATAGACCTAAAGGAAGAGAGATGGTTGTAGCAGCTATTTTTTGGGTTGCTCTCCAGTGCAAATACCTCTTGCAACTCAACTGCAAACGCCAAGTCCTGTGTTTCTTAACCAGCTTGGGGGGTAGCACAAACCTTCCCTTAGGGCTTCACCTCTGCATGCACATACACGAAGATACCCTGTGCTGGGTCCTCACCTGGAAAGTATGTTCTCCTTGCCGTGCGGCAGGAGAAGGTATTCGTCCACGTGCTTGCTAGATAAGCTCTTGGGCAGCTGCAAATATCTGGTCGCGTTGTAGAGGTTCAGAGCGAACAGCGTAACGTCGCCGTCTCTGTACTTTGGGCTGAAAAGCGAGGGAGGAAGCGCGTTGATGAGCAGGTAACCACGCAGCTGGGCAGAACCCAGCGCTGCCCACAGCTGGGTGGCCCCATTGCTGGGGACAGGAGGGGCATCCAGGAGCGCCCCACACGCCGGGAAAGGGGGCCCGTGCACGCCGGGCGCCGGGGCAGGGAAGGCGCCGACTGCTGCTTTTACACATCAAGGACCACGAGGCATTGAAGGGAGGACACGGAGCGGCTCAAGACTCCGGATAGGGAGACGAGAGACGCCCCTCTCCCAAGGCTGGGGTTGGGACCGGTGTTTGTGCTCCCTGTGCAGGAGCGCGCGTGCTTACTGGTGCGTGTTGGTGCAGTGCAGGTACACGCGGAGCTGCTGCTGGGCGCCTCCCTTCAGGCCAACGCGCAGCACCTTGGTGCCCACCAGCTTCTTGTACAGCAGCGACAGCCAGTAGTCCTGTGTGGGGACACACATGTGCACTGAGAACCGCTGCCTGTCCTGAATTCCTCTTCGTCATYCTCGCTCTGCCCTCCCCTCCCTTCCTGCAAGATGTGGGTGGAAAGACCAAGGCCAGAAAAACGCTCCCTGGCATAAGAACTACCTGGAACTGCAGGACAAAACTTCTCTTYATATTCCTTTCCTTGTTTTATGTTCTTTATGAGCCTGTAAAAAGCACAATTTGGAGACAGAAAAACTGTTGTATACGTACCGGCAAAGGTTCAAAATTTGCATCCACCAGATGGTAGGTTCCTGCTCCAAAGAACACCTGCCTCATCACCACGTCAAGCCCCTGCCTGGCCGCAAGGCCAAGTTTGTCCAACCACCTGCCAAAGAAAGGAGGCACAYGATGGGCACATGGAGTTGCAGTCCAAAGCTGAGCTCTGCTGCCTCTCTCTGACCGACATGGGAAGTAGAAACAAAGTCTTAATGCTGACATTTGCTTAAAATTATGCGACTGAATCAAATTCACGACTTGCAATGACTACCATACCAATTCCAGACTGCATCTGACTTGCAGCCTGATGTTATRGATTAATTTAAGCCCCCTTGTTGCTGTCCTTACCAAAGAAACAAGATACAGACAAGGGAAAMCAAAAGCAGGATGCGCCCTTGAACTGCCCAAAAGCATAAAATTTGAGAAATCATCACAGCAAATAGCAAGGTTATCTGTGAACCACACACACCGTTGCCATTTTGATCTGCTAACAGATCATTTGAATTGCTAAGAAAAAATCCATGTTTTTGTTTCTCTCGCTGTGACAAATCACTAAATCGGGCACCCTTGGAGAAAACGTAGATATTACTTTGGCTAATTATTTCACAGTAGTCCAAGTGTGACAGAGAGAAAGGACACAGGGTTAGTCGCTGGTCTCAGGCTCTGGGACAAGCTAGCTCCAACTCAACAAGCTTTGGTCAGCGAACACAGCATTGTTACTGTGTCTTTGGGAAGCAAAAGCGAATCCTACTGACCCTGTGGGCATTTAGAGGCCCCAAAATGGCATATTTTCAACTGTACAAAACTGTATAACTTACAACACGTGCTATTTTACTCACATAAAGCCAGCGACGTATGTGTTGGACAGTTTGGGGGCGCCTCCTCCATASGCTGAGCTGGTTTCTCCCAACCAAACCTTCTTATTGGGTACGGTTGCGTCAACGATCTAAGCAGCGTCACATAGGAAAGAAAAGGAAGAGGTGGTTATTGAGYGTATGGCTTATGAAATAAATTAATAAATCAATAAAAAAATCTGTGCTTCAACCAAATGCCTCGGCAAGCAATTTGCATTTAACGGGTGGTAACATTGACTGAGGCAGGATGTTGTAGAAATTTTGATCAGCACAACCATAAAAGCAGTATTTTTTCCCCACATCTGCTCACATTTAGAACTAGGAAAACCTYGCTAAAGACGATTCTCTTTCTGTAAGCCTTCCCAAGCTGAGTAGCTTTATACTTTATTTTTTYTTCCTGCTCTCAGGATCTCTAAATCCTGTGAAATGCGAGCAAAAACCTACAGCAACTTTTGTAGATGTGCACAGTTTCTAGCACAGACTGTTGCTCTTGAGTGCATCTATGAGCAGTGTTGCTGATATGTGCTTTTGAGGATTCACCCTGACCGTGGCACCTGAGCATCCTTACTTCTTGCTAGGGAAGAAGCTCTATTTGACCGCGGATTCTGTTTTGCTCATGCTACAAGGTGTGAACAAGTGAACAGGCTGACGCACCTCAAGGACGTCACGTATCGCTGTGGAAAAAGAATCCAGCACTTCTGGGCTCAGGAAATCCTCTCTTGTGGCATGTCGTCCRTTCACGTAGTAGCTGAAATTGGAGGAGAAAAGCACAAAGTTAGGGAAAAATTCGTCCAGGGGTACAAAACAACAGAACTCAGTCAGTCAGTGCATTTATKCACATCCTCGCTATGTTTCTGTCCAGTTTTTATTTTTGTTTGTAAATGTACAGGTATGCTATTTATCTTTAAGGGACTTCCAGAGAGGATAACACGGACTAAGGCACGATATCACAGAAATTTTCATCAACAAGACTAGAAGCAGCACATTTATTTCCCCAAGGTATCACATTAGTCATTTAAGATTAGAAACATATCAGTTAATATGAGTCAGGTTCTGTATTTCTTCTCATGCTGAGTGTTATTGTATCGCTATGTGATAAGTTGCCTTACAGTATAAAGTTAAACAGAAGAAAAACATCCCATGGCAGCTTCTCACTTGCTCTTTCGGCACTTGGGAGGGGACTGGGATGGGGACTCCATCTCAGTCTGACTCCTGGGGGCGCAGAGCTCCCTTTGCTTTAAGGGACACACGTTTCCTTACAGCTCTTCAACAGCATTTGCTCCCTGCACCTCTGAAGGGAACAGTTTGGCCRAAACAGCCCGTGCTTGAAACACGGCCCGTGGGTGCACTCCCCACCCTACCTCCATTTCTCGCAGTGCAAATATTTAGCAAGCAGAAGGACCTTGTGTGTGTCACTTCCATCACTGCTCTGCTCAAGTTATAAATTCCTGGCCGTGCTTTCAGTTTTGGCACTAACCAGCTTCTCCGGGCACCTCCTTGCCCGGATCTCTGTAACACACTCCCTCAAGTGATCTGCTTCTTGGGAGGGAAAGAGGCATTCAGAGTGGTACAAGGAATCGTTCCAATGGGTATTTCCCTCCCCGCTTCCCATAAATAAGTTTAAATCAACATTTTCATGGCAGCTTCTCCATTACAAGCAACYGGACACGTGAGTGGTACTTACTGATGCCAAGTGACAGAATCAATCACCTTCCCTCCCGACTTCAGGAAGCTGCCAACAAAGAGCACAGGGTTGTTAGGAGGGTTAATTTATGTTTGTGCAACACGGGGAGATTTCTTGGGTGAAAACAGCGCAAGAGCCAGTGTTTAACTGGAAGACATGTGGATCAGTGAGGTACCGCTAACGTCTTAGTCGTAACGGGCGGAGAAGTTTAAGCRTAAGATTTTGCACGCAGGTAAGATTTCAACCGCCCTTCGTGCAAAAAAAACAATGATTGCAAATTAAGAAAAAGCATCAAAACAAATCAGGCCTCAGTTAAGCTGGACTTAGGCATGTTGATTCTCCATCCCCGGGACCGCACCAGCTCCTTGGGGCGTGCGGCATCCCTGCTCACCTGCGCAGCAGCTTCTGCGTGTGCTTCTGCAGCTGCCCCACGTCCGGCCCGTAGAGCTGCGCGCGCCRGTACAGGCTGTAGCCGTCCAGCACGTGCCGCAAGTGAACGAAGTCCTGCCCCAGCTGGAAGCCGTCGATGGAGAGGCCGGACTTCTTCCTGAAGCTGTTGGGCTCTGGGAGAGACACGTGCACCTCAGTACCCACGGCTCATCGTGAGGGACAAGGTACCAACCYTCTGTTGGCTTTGCTCCCCATAAAACAGTACCTCGCTCTTCGGGGCATCACCCAAAACGTGCCCTTAAATACACGTTGCTCTGAGCACCAGCCCGTACCGCGTGGTTTCCAGCCCACCCGCTGCCTCTCTTGCCCCCGACCCACGTTGCTCTCACCGTTCCCCAGCTCCCAGGACATGTTGTAGCCCTGGGACGCGCAGTAATCCAGCAGCAGCYGCGCGTTGGAGCTGTCCCACTGCAGGCCGTTTTTCCGCAGCAGGGCATTGAGCCCGAAGATCAGGTGAAACTGTGAACAGTTTGCGAAGCTGTACAGGATGTCCACTGTGTTTCCTGCACGATGGAGGAACACCACAGAGACCGYTTATTTCCAAGGTCCACTGTGATTATGGCTTTAAAGCCAAATAAAATCTGCATGATATGCMCTTAACCTGCTGCTGTACCTATAGGTATGCTGGCCTTTCAGAGCCAAACCGAAAATCCCAGCCCCAGTGAAGCTTGTTAAACATCATCCTGAAATATGCTGAGATTTGCTTAACTCTTGCAGTGGCTGAATATTTTTAAATAAATAAAGGACAGAGTGGAGTATGCTTTTGTTTAAGAAACATCTCAAGGACTTAGAGAAACCTTCATTTTTGGTGGCTTCAGGTCTTACCTGCCCATGACACTCTTGCCCTGGAACAGCGATTTGCAAGCACCAGATGCCATCCAAGCATAAGAATCTATCAAAATCTTACTTGTAATGGTGGTGTTCTTGTGCTTTTTCCAGTACTGCTCCTTAAGAATTAACTTCTCTTGGGCGGGCCACTGGGCGAGCAGCAGGTTCTCAACAGCCGAAAACCCAGACCTTAATCCACAAGCCTCTGCAAGACAGAATAAAGCGTGAGCCCAATGAAGCTCCCATTCCCCCAACAAGGGTTCGATGTGCCAAGGGCTGTGTCCCTCACCAAGAAACGTAGGGAGATGTGTAGAGCTGAGAGCCGCTCCTGCAGATCTGTGGAACTCACCTCTACTTTCGTGACTACGGTAGGGTGCCCACCGCTGCCCAGCGCCGGAGGAGCAGATAAACAGGCTCCCCACAACAACGGCACATGACTAATGCTCCTAATGTTTASGAGAGATACAAGGCTCCGCTTCCTGCTCCTGTGTGATGGGGACTGTTGGCAGCGTTTCCTGTGCCGCAGTAAGAGCTGCTGACTGTGTTACGAGAACRAAATTAATACCCTGGCAGAAGTCTGCAGGCTTTTCGCCCATACACGTAAATACGGTTTCTGATTTTCTACATAATTTCTACAAAAACTCACAGAGGATGCCACGATAAACAACAGAGGAAGTTAAAAGCAGGCCAAAGTGACACATGTCCCAAAGGGAAGCAGCCTATTCAAGAAAGGAGCATAGGGTGAAAATAACTCTTCCAAACCTAGCACTAGCTGCTTGCACTTATTTACTAAGGACTACTCTTTTTTATTTCCTTATAAAACTACTCTAGAGTAYTTAATATATTTTAAAAGAATTTAAGGGTTAAAAAAAGGCTTTAATTCAGGGAACTCAAAGGAAAAATATTTGTACCCAGGGACGAAACATAAAAAAAGTTAAGACCATCAGGTCAGGGTCAGTTTATCTAAGTCACTTATCTGAATGTTAGGAATATGGTGCTCACCGTCAGCGTAACTCTGGCTAGCAGAAAGCTAGACAAAACAAGCAATTTGCTCGGAGCTGGTTGTTTTTCTGGGTGAAACTGCAGCTTTTGAGCTGACCTTGGCTGGCTCCCACCTGCTGGGAGGGCTGCAAATGCTGTGGTGGCCTCACAGAAACGGGCATTGGGCAGCAAAGTTGCACAGGGGACCATATACATCAGGGATGTGTTCAGCAGCCCTCCTCGTTTTCACATACACCCTGGCAGAGCTCGCTGCTTTAATTGTGCTGGAGGAAAAGAGGGATTGACAGATTGTGGGGAATTTAGGGAAGTGTGTTAGACAGTGGGAGAGACACGGAGCGGGCCCAAAAGAGAATAAGGTCAATGTGGAGGTTAAGTTGGGAAGATCCTTATGGAAGGGAGCAATCCTGGAGCAGAGAAGCACGAGTGCTGCAGTCACACGTTTGATCCATCTGCAGCACCTTTCGGAGCAGTTCATTACGGGTTAAAGAACAGGGTGTTCATTGCACTTTACCTTGCTTCACCTGAAGCTCCTGAAGGATTTTCTCTTCTAAGGTTGAGTCCCTGCCAGGATCGAAGATGAGAAAATCYGTTTTGGTGCCGCCAAACCTCAGGAAGCCTGGGGACAAGGCTCTGGCGAGGGTGCGCAGCCTGGGGTTGCTGAGGGAAGGATGTCCAGAAACGGGAGACACATCAGTGAGGCCGAGTMATACCGAGGGCTCCATCTCAAGTCCCTCATGTGCCTGTAATTCCCATCATTGTTTTATATAAAAGGATCACTGCAGGCCGAGGGATTCGGAGGGCTCAAAGGAGGCTGTGTGTGAGGGAGAGGTGTGCGGCTGTGTGCCGCAGCAGGGAAAGTTAGGGAGTGCTTTGAGAACAGGCAGTTTTTCTCCCCTGGGTACTTGGGATTTTGCTTAGGCAAAACCAACCTAATGGTCCCACGAGGACCTGGACATAAATCTGATTTCCACCATCCCGTCCAATTGCCCTAAGCTACAGGCAACCTAAAAGCTTTTCTGCCGAAGACAAGAAAGGGGAAAGGGAGCATCAGACAAGGCTTGATGCACGAGCGGTAGCGCTGATAGCGCTGCGCCGAGGAGAGCGGGGCCGATTGCTGCCCACCAACAACTTCCTGCTCGCAGCTTTCTAGCCTCATCCTGATCCCGATCCTGATCCCACAGCAGCTGCTGCTTTCTAGCCTGATCCTGATCCCTTCCCGATCCCAATACTGATCCCAGAGCAGCTGCTGCTTTCTAGCCTGATGCTGATCACAGAGCAGCTGCTGCTTTCTAGCCTGATCCTGATCCCTTAGCAGCTGCTTCCTTCTAGCCCCATCCTGATCCCGACCCCAAACCCGTGGCAGCCGCTGCTCTCTGGCCCCATCCCGCTCCTCCTCTGCTGCCACTGGCAGGTCTAAAGGTCGCAACCGCAGCCGCTTCCAGGCAAGGTGGGGTCCCCCTGCCGCCACCCTGGCGAGAAGGAAGAGGTGAAGGAGGGAGCCTAGGGAAAGGCAGGACTGAAGAAATAAAGGGGGATTTGAAAAGGAGGATTCAAAGGCAAAAAACAGAGTAGCTTCGTGAAGGGTCAAAAGGAGGAATGAAGAGGTTAAAAAAATAAAAGCAAAAATGCGAAACAACTTCTGCAGATTTTGAGCTCCGATTTCTAAAGCTGTCGCCAGGACAGAGGTGCCCAGCCCCTCTACGTGGGACCCTCCTCGCTCGGAGCCGGCTGCCTACCTGAGGAAGGTGACGTATCGCGGGTCCTGGGCCAGGCTGGCGTCCAGCGTGAGCGAGAGGAAAGCGGGGCTCACCTCCCTCACGGGCCGTCCCCGCAGCCCCAGGCTCAGCGCGGCCACCGCGGCCTCGCGCGGCTGCGCCGGGACTCGCGTGGGCAGCCAGCAGAGCAGCAGCAGCAGCATCCTCATCATCGTCACCATCATCATCCTCGCCGGGAGTGCTCAGCGGGGCCACGGAGCCGCTGCCCGCGCCGCGCGGGGAGCACTGCTCGCCCCAGCGCGCCAATCCGCGCTGCTCTTCCTGCTCCATGCCCGCGCCGCCGGGAAGGCCAGGAAGCCCCCGCCCGGGCGGAGCGCGTCCCCGGGCCGGCCCGCGCGCCCCCACGGCCCCGGGAAGCGGAAGGGCCAGCGGGCGAGCGGCCCCGGCGCCGCCTTGGAGCCTGGAGCTTTCGCCGCCCTTCCCGTCCCCAGCGCGGCCATCTCCTCCGCCCCAGGAGCAAGGGGCAGGTRGAAGGCTTTGCTCCAGCAAGCGCTGCTGGGCATTCACCAGCCCCAGCCTCGCTTGCATGGACAAGAACACTTAGATTCATCAGTTTTATTTAGCACAGTCAGGTCGGAGAGCCTGTCCTTACCAGCTGAGTTTAAGCATACACCTCTCCTACTCGGCTCGTTTCGAAATGCTCTTGCTAAGTCACACTGCACATTGCCCAACGCCTCTGGTTCAGCAATGGGCAGCGTGTCTCAAGTGTCCAGYGCTTCCTCCGTTCTCATGTGGCCGTGAATTAGCCTGGCTCGCGCTCACCCCTTCTCCCCTGCCCCTGCCCGCTCCAAATCTCTGCATTGCACAGCCCAGCTCCAACGGATCAAGGCAGACCCAATAAACGCCCACTTTCCGAGGAAGGGTGAGCTGCCGGTTGTGCTCCAGAGCGAGGAGATAGGGGAGACACTCCTGGCTGTGTCAGCCCGTGAGTCAGTGCCCAGTTTAGCGGCACCCTCCAGTCGTACGTCTGCACCGCCAGGAAGGGCTGGGGCAAAACGCTCTTTATGAAGTGCCTATCAAAGCAATAAGTCACGTATCTGTGAATMATTGGAGCATCCCGTGCATCACCCAGCCCTCTGAATAAACCTGGTGTTTTGGAAATTACCTGCGTGACAAATCCTTATGGCAAACCACTATTAAAGACATTACTACTGATGCAGAARATGTTAATAGTCATCGGCTGAGATAAAGCCTGGTAATCCCTGCACTGGCTCCTTTCCATCCCTAAAAAGGGGTCCTTGGTATGGAGATGCTTTGAATGGGTTTTCCTTGCTTTCCACCTTTCTTGCTGTTGAGGCTGAAAATCCACACTCCAAATCCCTGCTCTGGATTCAATGGATATATTGCAGACAGCGAGCATGAAACGCCTAGCATGCATTACAACCCAGCAAAGTCTTGTCCTTGGAAAACTGTACATAGCTAAATATATAACAGCCATATGCATTAAATGGGATGTATTTTTAGGCTTTTTTTCCCCCACATTGCATTATATCAATTTCTAAATCCTGCAAAATAAGGATGAATTATGGCCAGGRCTTAAAAACGCTTGTGCTTTTTTTGAAGCTAGTTCCACGCAACACCCCGCTCCGCTTCCTTATTTCAGAGCAAGCTGCAACTGCCTTGTGGTTTGGAGAGGCCGTGGCTCGCGCCACCCTTCTCACGCAGCGCCCACCCGGCCTGTGGAACTGGGAGCTGAGAACAAACCTTTCTGGGAAATGAAACATCTAGAGGAAGGGCAGCGTTCCTGCTAACATACATGAACGCCTGTGGGGGTGGCGTGAGGACCGCGTGGGTCCGTACGCGCTCATATGGCTATTTAGGGAATTCGGTGGAAGTTCAGTACGCGGAACAGGAGAAATTGCTGCAACTTTGCAGCATTAACGGGGACGAACAAAGCTGCCTGTGGCAAACCACCACTTTATATGCTATATATTCCCACATAAAAYGAGCGTGCACTTGAAAACCACATGCATTTCTTTGAAGAGTTTGAAAATCCAGCTTATGTTCTCCAAGTCTCCCAAATTATTTCCACACCATTTAAAGCCATTGAAGTTTTTCTTCTCCAAAGCCTTGCTTCCATAGACTGCCCAGCAAAGTCTGGTATTTTGGCAAATGGAGGTACTTCGGGAAGCCTCCTGAGCTCAATTCCAGCACATAAAATCAAGTAAAAYGGCTTTAAAATGATGACAAACTGCGAACTGTCCGCACAGGACTCGCACGCAGGGGCTTTCTGGAACACGTAAATCACAATAGGTCCCATTCACACAATGAAAATTAACAGCTAGGCAGCAGTTGAAGCCCCACACTTCTACCAACCCTTCCCCAAATCGTTGTTAATAATCTGCACAGGGATTCCTGAGAGGCAGAGTTCAATACCTGGGGCAAAAGAAAACCYGTGAACAGAGGATCTAGTTTGCACAGGCTTTTTAAAAGTAGAATAACACATGTTATTAAAAAATTRCCAGCAACATATATACATCTATAAAATATGTATGAAATATGCATATGCATGAAGATATAAAATATGTATGAAAAATATGAAATACAGAACATCTGCATGACTTACCTTAACTCCAAAGGGCGTATCGTGGCTTTGTGCAGATAAGCTATTCATAACTGCTTCTTGGAGAAGCTTTAGGACGTAAAAACCCCTTGGAATCAAGGAGAGACTCCTTGCACAAGCTTTTCCATAGCATGGCAGCCAGCAGCATCCATTAACCCAATAAATTCCCACAACTGCATGCAAAATTGGTCTTTGAATCCAGTACTATTCTGCATTTTGAAATACCAGAGCATCTTCCAGCAGTGCCTAGGAAACGTAATTATCYTTTGTATTTCTTTTAAGCATACTTCATCCAAGGAGAAAGCATGTGCCATTGACTTCTCTCTAGGGATTTTAATGCTACACTCCTAGGTGTTAAAGGAGGCAGTGTGGAAGATGTGGGCTGGCTTATTTGGGTGGRCTACGCCTATGTCAGGAAAAGAAGCAAAAATCAGGTTTTCCACGGAATTTTGCAGTCTCCTCCCTGTCACTTCTAAGGACACAAGTACCTGCACAGGGTGCCTGGGGACACCGTGAAAATGGACCTATGAAAACTGTCTTTTAAAGCTACTTTAAATATACAAGCATTTATTTATTTACTATTAGCCATCATTTTGTCAAAATCAGTTTTACTTACAAGGGGAAGCATTAAGGGACATGCTTGGATAACCTCAGGGCTTGGCAGATACCGGTTCTGCATCTGAAGGCCAAATTKATTGTTTACTGATAGAGTGAACTATAAAACATGCCTTGATGTTTCCAAAACCACCCAAAATGTCAGTAACACGACTGCCTTGAGGTGCTGCAAAGCCTAGCAAACAAATGACTCACGCTGCCTCTGAAACTTGCAGTTTTCAAGTTCTTGGCCTGGTTTAATAGCAAATGTCCAAGCATTGCACTTACCTAAGCTTTTGAAGACACGGAACACCAGAATTGCTGCCTTAAAGCAATGTTTCTTGTAAATGAAGGCTAACCCGGGGAATTTCCTATCTAGGATGTCTCTAGTGTCACAACCAAATGGACAATATACTTTTTTATATACTTTTTTTTTTTTTTTTTAAGCATCAGCTTCTCTACTACTACCTCCTTTGCTGTAAATATCAATACAAACATAATAGCAGATCCTACTTGATTTAGAACGGTCTTGTTGCTCTGGAGCTGCAAACATAACAGTAGAATTGAGTCCAAGTGGCAATGCTTATTAAATTTTATCTTAGGTTTCCCTTGCTGAACAAAGGCCAACTGATTTTGCATTAAAAGGCCAAATTTTCATCTTGGCAATATATTGGTTTTACCACCTAGCTTTCAAGCCACCCATCGTACACCCAGTACCACAAATTTCTAACGTGCCACATACTGGTCACGTGAAGAAGTTTAAGACATCAGAGCTGAAAAACACTTGCAAAGCTACTTTCAAAAGCTCACCTGTGTGTCAAAACCAAACAAAATTTCCTCTCCAAGTAGGAATTTGGATACAAAATTATTATTGGATACAAAATACATACAAAAAAACAGGTATACAAAAAGCTTTAAATATTTATTATAATTATAGCAGCTTTATATAGGACAAAATTAAAAAAGTAAAAGTACTGGAATTTCATGGCTTCATGATTTTTTAATGAACCAGTTGGTCAGCAGGCCCCCGGGGTATCTGCAGGCATCCTCAGCAGTTCATCAACTTCTTCTTGCAATGCCGCAGCTTTCTCACTCAGCAGCATCTATAATTAAAATCACATCATTAGGAAACAAACACAAGGGCATTTGCTGTACTGCAAGGAAGGGTAAAAATAGATGTGTGTTCCCAGCTTGTACCTGTGTCTTTCACGATGAAACAAAGCAAAGACTGCTGCTGTCAGCAAGACTGTGGTTTCTCCTTCAAAGGACTAATATTTTCACTGGCATTACTGCTAATATATTTTACTGCTTAGGCATATGGGTATAGATAACACTGTAAAACCTTAGAAGCCACAAGATCCATGAAATACTAATTCACTTTTCAGTCTTATGCATTTAAGCACATAAAAATGACAGAAGGAACCCATTTGATCTAGTAGCTGTAAACAAAAGCATTTTTAACTCGAGGCATTTATTTTCAATGTTAAGGTGAGTAAACATACATGGTATCTGTCAGATTGCAATGACTTGGGGMCTGAAAGGTGAGGGCAGTGATTCACTCCCCATTTCCTCCGACAAGCTGTCAAACTTGGCTTCCCTCTTGGACAACTCTCCCTATCCTGCACACAAACTATTGGAGTAGTTGACATTTGCCTATCAGTCGGGTGCACTAAGGTCAGCACGTGCTGGCTTCCTTACACTTGTGCAAGGGTTAGACAACTCCTAGACCAATAATATCGCAAACAACAGTCGTACTTCAGCACCTCCTTAATCTAGACCAAAAAATTTCATCTCAGATATTCAAAACACCTGAAAAACTTCTATTATTTCAATATTTCACCCTTTTTGATAGGCGGATGGCTTTGAAGCAATTTTCTTATAACATTTTTACTCACTTTTGCAGATGAAACTATCTGTTTGGCTTGACGTCGTGACAAATGCTCAATCATCCTCACGAGCGTTTCTGGATTTGCATTAGCTAAGTGTGCTAAGGTTTTGTATCCTGCATTATAAAGCTGTTTTGCACGGGCCTGCAAGCAAAAAATTAAGGCGTGGTGAAAAATTATTAGGCAAGACAAAAACTGTCATCCAGTCTATCCCTGGATATCAATCTGACCCCCTTTGAACCACCCTCTGCAGAATACCCATCCTCTCTGCAACGGTGCTGAGCACCTGAWGGGCATCCTTATCCACAGCGACCCCTTACCGAGCAGATCCATCCCTCGCATTTTCCCTCCAATCTTACACAGCTTAATAACATTTCCTATTTTTCAGAGCCTACTAATACTGATTTCAGCATCCTCTTTTCTCAYCAGCTTCCTTACTGCATTCACTGTCACTGACATGAATGACCATTCTGCATTTTTAGCTATATAATAAGGGTTAATATCTGAAAAAATCAAGTCCTTAATTGTCTGTAGTTCAGAAGAAAGTTATTCAAGCTTCCACAGAAGTCAAGGAAAAACACACTTCCCTGTTCWAGACTACTGATAGCAGTTCTTTCCTTTAGTGTTATGAGTTACACCATGTTTGATATTTCTGCAGCTTGTGTTGTGACAGCTGGGAGCTCTCACGCACAGGATAGAGTCTCTGGAATTGAGAGATCGTCAGCACTAGGGARTTCTATCTGCTTCTTACTTGGGTTGGTCCTCTTGTGAAGAAWGGAGGCAARGCAGCCCCWACAGATTTGCCAGGCAAAGATGGTTTCTGGAGCAAAATTTCTTTCCATAAGAAGTAGTGCCAGATTCTTTACAAAATTTAAATAAAAATGCACTTTAGTCCAGTCACAGAAGACATATTTTGTTATAAACTTTTGTATGCTGAGTTATAAAGTAACAAAGCATTTGGTCATCTAACTACCTTGACTTTTTTCCCTCCTTTCCTTAGAGGAAACAAAAAAAGATGTATTTGATGACAGCTACCTATGCCTTTTCTTTTGATATAGTATTCAAGAATGGCCTACAGAAAATACAGTGTCCTCCAAGGTATCYGAGAACCAGAAACATTCAGTTATGGGAAGCAGTCACATTATTATCACCAAAAAAAACCTGCTAGCAAATACTTTGTGCTTTATTTCCCTGTTACTGCGTGCACAGTACACCTGATGGTCCAAATGATATCCACACTAGGGACTTGCCTCCCATGAAATGGTTTTAGGTAGCGCTCTGAGCAATATTTTCAAGAAAAGAGAAAATGAACATGTTTCTCCTGCATTCCTGCTACCACACTTTACATTTTATATTTGAATAGGAGTCTGTAGCTCAGAGGCTAGATTAATTTCTTATTTAAAATGTAAACATCACAAAAATAATTATAAAAATTCAAGTTCCCAATACATCTCCTATCTGAGAGTCGTCTAGCTTAAACTGTTAAGTCTTAAACCTGTTAAGTGTTAAACCTTAATGCTGAAAAGACTTGGATTCTGGTTTTTTTGTGTGTGGAACAGCAACATTCTTGGATTCTGGTTTTTTGTGTGTGGAACAGCAACAGAGAAGTTGCTATTTAAGAGCTCATGAACAGAGAGCCAGGTTTACTGACCTCTAGAACGCCTGCTACTTCCATCAGGGGGATGAGCTCTGCCTTAACACAATAGGTCAACTGTTTGGTAAGCTCTGTCAACAGGGCTTTATAAACCCAAAATTCCTCCAGTTCCTGAAAGGAGATTCAAAAACAGAAAAACAGTATTAAAGAAACTGAGACACAGGTCTATGCTCTTTACTACTGATAGAGCTCTAAGGCAAGAAGCATATATTTGGTTTCTAGACACAGGAAGCTGTTATCTGTAGTTACCCTCATTTCAAAACTGTGGCAGTGCGGAAGGACTAGCAATAATATATTTTAAATTAAGAGAAKCTGAGGAAGTTGTTCTCCTAGGATGACATTTTTGACACTAGATCTTATTTCAAATAGAACAAAACAAACCTCCATCATTTGCTTCATTAACAGCAGGTTCTGACACTGATTAAAGCCCTGCACATGAAAACCACTATGTGTTTTCGGTCATGCTTTTCTGAAGAGGAAATATACACTGTTTTGCACAGAAAATGGGAAATACAGCATCTGTTTTAAGTTCTAATATACCACAACCGAAAAAAATATTCCCTGTTTTGCAAAGCAGAAGTCCCGAARAAGGTGCTGAGATGTATTTAGGAGTACCTCACAGAAATGTAGGACACAAGAGGCAAAGGAAGCGGCAGACGTTAGGAGGCTTTGCACATATCCTCGGGACATATTAAATTTCTCCGCAACACTCCACACGTTGGTCTCCTTCAGCAGGCTATAAAGGACGAAGGACAGGTAGAGCCTGTTGATAACTGCACTGTCCACATTCTAGGAAGAAAGCAGGTGAAAACTGAAAGCTCACAGAATTCCAGATGTTCTGATATTGCAGCAGCTTCTTTACACGTAAAAACAAATGTGTTGTTACATGTGAAACATATTACRTGACATTAACTAATGGAATGAGGTTAAAAGAACCTTAATTATTGGAAGAACAGTTATAACACTCAAAATGCTAATGAAAAACATATGGAACATTTCTAAACTTTCAAATTAAAAGATTAAAATGTGTTCCTGTGAGAATGATAAGCTTGTAGCCTACCTTTCTGATAGCTTGTCCAGATGCCTTTTTTGTAACAAAGCTTTCAGGAACCCCCACAATATCTGCTATTCTTTGCTCTGCTGGACTTAGCTGGTTGAACTGAAAAAGATGGGTTACAACTAGAGTATTGTTTTCTGTTAAAAATCATGTTGTGATATGACATCTATTAGGTGTTCATGAAATATGACAAAAGCCACTTGAGCTGTACRATCAAAAACAAAGCTTATACCACAACCTTTACCAACTGACACCCCAGTGACTACATTTCCTGTAACTTAAAAAGTAATTAAAAAAAAAAAATCAATGAGCAAAATGAATATATGCCCTGATGCATGTCTGAAAGTCAGTTCTCACCTGTCTCAAGTATATCATCCAGTCCGGGTTACAGTTACCAATCATATCGTACGGAGTTGCCAAATAGAGAAGATGAAGGTTGCTCTCAAGAACGAGGCCTTCCAAACCCTTCTTCAGCTCTCTATAGAGGGTATTGCAGTGTGTCAGGTCTATAGATCCTAAAAGAGTTATCACAATTTTMAACAGGTATCCACAAGTTACCAGATAGACAGTTGATAAATACATTTCAACACGGGCACGGATTGTTTTCCATTTTCCAGAAAACGCATTTCAAATTCTACTTAAAAGTCTTGTGGCAACAAGGACAAGTTTGGACATGTCCTCTCAACAACTCAGCAGGCATCTCAGGTTAGTCATAGGGGTTATTTCCCTCCAAAGAGAACACTCCCTATGCCTTACTCTACTCTTGATAAAATAAAGTTTAAGCTCAAGGATTTGGAGGTCTGTGTATGGGTCACCCAAAAGCATCTACTAGCATTAWACATATTTTCAACCCATCCTAATTTCAAGGAAGAACTGAGAGATGAATAATTCTTGTAATTAGAATCACTAAGTTGATATAGAGAAACCAAGAAGGTAGCCACTGACTTGCATACATGTCAAGTTTGTGGGCATTTTTGGAACTTCAAYGAATTCTCCAGCGTTAAACTTCTGGAGCGACATGCTCCAAAACTTGCAGATTCTCATATAAATTTTGCAGACGTTTGGACAACCTATTCCAATTATCTTCTATGCCCTGTGTCCTCATGTTACGAAACAGAAAGCAGAAGTTCCTGATACACTATCGTCACTCCAGACCACATCCGGCCTARATTTCACAGATTCCCTTTCCCTTTAACTTTCTTCCTAGCAAAAGGAACTCCACTRTTTACAATACCTTTTCATAAAAGCAGATCACTTCTACTGTAATCACTAAAGAACTGTGTCCTGTTTTTGGTACAGGCCTGGTCTGACTTGCCCTGTCACAGGAATTCCAACTCCTTCCCACTGTGTTCAGTCATTGATTGTTCATTGTCTAACCCCATCAGTATTTAGGGCATCACATCATGTAATAATTAAAACAGGCACTACATCTATTTTCATTGCAGTTTCAGCAGACGGGCAATCATCCCAACCGGACGGAGATGAAAGGCTTTGYTGAAATAGGGAAAAAAGGACGAGAATGAAAAATACCTTACCTTTATACGTAGCTTTACCCAACTGTGTGATTGTTAGCACCGTTTGGGAATTATCATCCTTTTCAGATGATTTTCCTTTCACGAGTCCGCTTTCTATCAGATTTTCTACCCCTTCTTTAATTATATCCCAGAGGCTCTTCTCTTTAGAGAGCAGCTGCTGCTGAACACCCAGCAACGTATGGCACATAAAACTGTAGATTTCCTCAAGGGTTGCTGCAATCTGTRGCAGTTTTGCAAGTGATTAGCTTGGTCAAAAAAGGCAAGTGTCATTAYGCAGAACACGAATTACATAAACCACCCAAAAAGTTACTGAATACAGAGACATGGCACTATCCTGTTAACTGTCTTTACAGAATGACATAACAAATACTACAGTAGACAGTCTACCTATGAAGGCTCTGCGGGACCTATATTTTTATCTTTTCCATTATTCCTGCTATTGCACCACGTTCTACTGTTGCTTCTTGCTAGTCTTAAGCTTTTSAACAAATTAATTTTTTTTAACAAAAATGCAATAACGTAAAAATGCTTATCTAGAAGGAGATATAATTTTGACCTTGTCCACGTTAAAAAGCGTAGTGTTACAGCATTATTTGATACGCAAGTTAGGTAATAATACTAATCACAACTTTATCCTACTCATCTGACCAGAAGCCAGATGAACTTGGACGTTAAGTTGCTGAAAAAAAATCTGCTTTTACTGTAAAACCAGGTAAGAATCCCTTTACTTTCTCAAATGCTTCTGAATTTACAGAAAAAAACCCAAAAAACTAATACCTTCAATCCAACCAAAGACAGCAACAGGCTCTGTATCCCCTTATTGAACTCAGGCAGGAGATTGCTGTAACAGTTCTCCAAAGGACTGCTAATTAAATCTTGAACCTACAAGGAAAGAAATATYTTAATTCAGAGAAAATACTTCATATACCCAACGGGTTTGCATTGTCATTTTACAGCGCTGATATTCACCTTTTTGGCATATACAGAAAAACTACAGACATCTGAAATTTACAGTTGATGTCTGAAACCTTACACGACAGATAACAAAGGTAATGAGAAAAAAAYCTTGGAATTCACAGGTAATATAGAAGTCAAACACTTGCAACAGAAGGTCTAAGTAGGCCAGCTCCATCTCCCTACCCCATCAGCTTATTCACATCATCTTACAGTGGCCGAAACCTTCAGTTCAGGAAAAATTACCAGCTGCTTGTCTTTTTCTTGTGCTATGAGAATGCTTTCACCGGCACTGTCAATGCCAGCTCGGCCTGCCCTGCCGATCATTTGTTTGTACTGACTCTTCTTCAGGAACTCTCTAGCAACATAAGGAGCTCTTAAAATAACCCTGTTTAAAAAAGAAAGGGAGAAAGGAAACAGAGTAAATCCTACTAAAAAACAAAGGCAAAACAGACCACAGATTAGCAGTGGTCACTTTTTCCTCTGAGATCTAAACACACACACACACACACACAGAAGTAGATTATGTGCATCAGGCCCAAGTCATATGGAGTATGGTAGACACAATTAAGACGGGTATGATGAATAACATGGGCTTTCTAGTGATTCASACTTCATAAACTAAGTACTGGGCTGTGTTAATTCTGCCCAGAAGTCACTGACTCGTTTTGCCCTGCACGTCAGTAATGAAAGCAAAAGCATCCTTCAAACAGCACTGATACTTGCAACTTGAACAACGCAAAATCTATGGAAACCACAAAAAAACATTTCTGAGGAACAAACCTTCTGGCTGGTAGGTTGACCCCAGCAGCTAAAGTCGCTGTGCAAGCAAGAAGACAGAGGACTCCCGCAGAATAAGCTTCCTCTATACTTTTTCTTTCATCATTAGTAAGGCCACTGTGATGATAGGCAATACCAAAAGGAATGGTTTGCTTCAGAACAGGGCAGATGCTTCCATTTCCAATAGCCTTCAGATTCTTAATGAGATCTTGCTTCTCTTTCTCCCTGTGAGCTTTAAAATCTCTTGGAGGAGGAAGAGCATTGCTTTAGACTTTGRTCATTCAGTAAAACTTAACACAACAGGAAATAAATGCTTACTGTCTATTTCTGTAATGCCCAAGATGCTAAATAAGTTCCCAATATTAGAACTGTTTCCTTACTGGGTATAAATGGGACGAGATGTGGGGAGCAAGTACACAGAAGAAAGAAAAGAGTCAGATACCAGCTGCAAGTTAAGCTTATGGAAACATCAAAGATGGTTTCAAATTTGGTGAGGAAGGAAATTTATTGCTTTAATATAATGTCTTGATTACAACTTAACCTACTAGCCTATAAACATAYCACATCAGGCTTATGTGAAACTGAAGTTTTTATAAATGAAATCAATGATTATATTTACTTCTTTGTTAATGRAGCCTGGAGTTTTCATACTTTGGGCATGTACAAAAATATAATGAATAGATTAGGAGATATCTGGCTAAAATACAGCATCAAAAGTGATATAGAAAAAGCGTTAAGGAACCTGCAGAGAACAAGACTATCAGAACATAAATTAAACAGACTGGTTCTTTGCAGGTATTTCAGTGTGCTGTTACTTGCACATTTGTTCAAAAACACAAACTGTTTTGGAAACACATTTAATAAGAATTCTTGAACCTTTTCCAACAATTTATGCAGTTCCAACRTGGCATCATCAAAATAAATTCACTGAAGTACTTACTTCTCATAACCAGGGAAAGTCATTTTCTTGCTAACAAAAGTAAATCCTAAGTTTTGATAAAATACTCCCTATAGAACTAAGATGAGACATACATACTTGTTCAGATACTTGCACACCATTGCTGCCACATTCTCACAGTTCTTTTTAGTGGGACAAAAGATKAGGCAGGAGTATTTTGGAATAACTTCAGTCACCAGTGCAATAATATGGTCAGGGTCTGCTTTCTCCAGATTACTTGAATACTGTCAGAAAACAGATAGAGGTAGGTTTATTTGTTTATTTTACAAGCCATAAAATCAGCATTAATTTAACAATTCTCTGCTTCACTAGCCTAGTAATTTGCTTTAACATGACTTAAGTAATAACCACATGTTTTAATTATTTCCTTCTTGCTCAATTTTCAGTTAGCAACCCCACAGTCACGTCACCTGCTACTGGTAGTCTATAATTATTCACTTCTTCCATATAAGTCTGAAACAAATCTTTCTGTATTCTAAATCTAGATATCTATATCCAACTATCTATATCCCCAATTCTGTATTCTAACRGGCCAAAACTGATAAATATCTTCTTTTGTCATCTAAGTGTGATTAGCAGCCCAGAAAAATCTAACAAATGATCTTTAGCAATAGGTAACTGAAATATTCAAGCATAATTTTCCTCACATGGAAGAAGTACGGAAAGAGGAGAAAGTAGTTTCTTTTTATCCAAAAAGAAAAAAAAAAGAAAGCAGAAAACACAATAAAAATATAAGCATTTGGTATTTTACGGTTCTCCCCTCCCCAAAGCGTTTCTCTCACAGATGCTATGAACAAACGACTGTGCTACAGTACTCTGTGTTGTAAAAGCCACGCAAGCAAACTGAAGAAAAACATAATTTCATAAAAGCTGTTCAAAGGCACAAGCTTTAAACTCCTTGGTATTACCTTGAAGCTAAGGAGACGTGAAAAAGTAAAGCCACATTCTGCTTTGCTGTCAACTTCATAAATAGTGTCTCGTATTTTTATGTATTCCTTTAATTCTACCTTAGTGGATTAAGAAAGGAAATAATAAAATATGAGCTAAATTAGCAAATCTTCTCTATAAACTTTGTTATTACTAAGCAGTTTAAATGTCTCTTTCAAAGCATTACCTTCATGTATATAAATACACGTGCACGCACATACAAGCGCCTGTTCCCCATCAATGATTTTTTTTAAAAGTCAGCATTTCTAAATACCTGCCATGACAAAATAAGCACCTCCTTAAATAGAACACCAGACCTTACAAGCTACAACGCACGAACCATACGGATTCAAAAACTTAATCTAAGTTAAAATGATACAAATCACTTAACAGTAATCACAAGAGGATCAATTACATTTCTGCATGCATAAGCACATACAACATACTTAGATGTATACCAGAAGCATTAATACAGCTCTAACCTGTAACAAGCATTATATTACCTAATTTATAAAACTAAACAGAGAAAGTAACAAGAATTGACATAACCTTAACAAAAGCRCATTGATTTTCATGTCAAAACTGCTATTTACTAGTTTATGGYAGCTTGTGTACAGACCGGTCTGAAATTATTCGTATAGTAATCTGCTCGCAAGAACTTCTGCAGGTCCCCAACGTTATTTAAAGTTGCACTCATTCCAATGACTTGTGTATTTTCTGTAAAAGAGGACTTGAATTTACTGCCACGCTCAGCTTCTGTAACATAGCTGCTCCATTTTTGATTTTTAAGAAAAATATTTTCCTTAATGCCTGCTGACTCAGCAACTAGGGTGACTGAGGGTGCCCARAATAAAGCATTTTTAGAGCTTTAAGAAATCTTGTGGATGGAGCACTATTTAATATTTATATTTCATGTAATATTTCCTACTCACATCTCCATAAAACCTGCCACTACTGGCATGTAAGAGCAAAGAGTAACAGAGAATAAATCTTACAAATTAAACATTGAGCACCTGCATCTTATAATCATACAAGATTTTACATACAGTAATCAATTTCTGCTTTTTTGGAGAATACTCCCAATATCAAAACGGATACTGATTTCACTTTTGACAGCTATGTAAAATGTATACTTTTGTTGTTAATTATTGTAACAGTAAAAATACACCCAAAACATTCATAGAGCATTTCTGTTCTTATCAGGCGACTGACCATACACCCCAACATCCTACAAGATGCCAAATAAAAGTCTTCTATGATGATTTTGTTAGGCTGCAACATCCTGAGAAAAATTCTAGAGATTCAGTATTTGGCTGTACGGTGCTTTTGCACACAAAGAAAAAGCAGGAAAAAACCAACAGCCCTCACAAAGACTCTAAGCTTTAATACCGAACGTATACCCATGACTTTAAAGGGATGTATCTTAAAAAATAAAAATCACAAAAATCTCTTGAGAAACATTTAATTAGAAGAGTTAAGAGGCTTCTTCAAAGAAAGAGAAGAAATTTGACAATAATTTCTCACAGAGAAATTGTCACAAAGGCCTCTAAAATACTCAGCCCACYTTGACAGGGTAAAATTAGCAATTGAGTGATGCAAAATTGCTACGAAACAAAACATTTTTCAGAAGAAAGCCAGAAAAACAGAAATCTAGAATGGCAAGATAGACTTTTCCATCATTACAACACTTTAGCAATATTAACTGCAGCCATAACTTACTACTGGTGTAGAGAACTTTTGCAAGAGCCATTTCCAGAGTTGCACCACGACTTCCCTCGCCAATCATATGTAGCTGTTGAYGGAAACAAGAGGGAAGTGGAGAGAATATTACTGGCTAATAATATTTCTAGAAACAATCTATTACCTCTGATTACAGGGGAATTAGTGTCAGACTTCCTTTCAAACACTCATCTGGTCAATTTTGACTCAATCTTCTTCAAGGATCACCCCACTAGAAAAATATGTATTTAAGAGTCACAGAAAAACAAGCCAAAAGCAAGTGCATTAAGCAAAATTTGCCTTCCACTTGCTTAGATCACACAGGTCTCAAACAGGCATTTCCTAGCAGCAAAGACACAGATCTTTGTTTCAGCTTAAACCAATTCTATACAGTGGAATTAGAAGCAGTGCTTATAATAGAAGGTAATAGTATTTTCGTCATATCCACGAGAGAAATAACGCAGAACTTGTAAATTTTCTCCCATTTAGAAGCCAAGGCATTTAAATAAGCTGAGTCAACCTAAAGCACAAATTCAGTTCACCTGTGGGATGCCACGAGCGGGGAGAAAGCCCTCCAATCCAGCTGTAGTAGCCAAATTCTCTACAAAAGCAGAATAAGAACCAACTTGTCCAACTCTATGTGATTTACTGCATTCCTTTTGATTTAGGTAAGACCAATGACACCATTTCAGGGATCACAATTTACAGGGCTTACAAAGTTTGCCCTGTAACATTAAGATACTTCACCACCTGTCTGCTCCAGTATTGCCTAGAGCCCAAAATGATAAACGGTGGTTACATAATTTAGCATCAACCACTCTAACAAGACAGATACTTCAACACAGAAACTATTATCCTGAGGTAGCACTAAAATCCTTTCATCTACAAAGGAAAATAACTTTAAAATACAGATTTTGGTTTCAGTTCAAGTTTGTAGATCATTAACTGCCAATGCAAAAGCCTGAAATTACACTATTTTATTATAAATACAAATACATAAAATCTAAGGAAAAATAAAAATAATTCTTGCAAATAACTTTGCCACACACCTCATCTACAACGACTAGACCCAGATGATCAATTCTTTCTGTTTCGATCAAGGAATTCACCAGRGCATGTCCTTTCTCTATTGTAGCAATATACAGGGAGTTTTTTACTCTTCTCTTGATTGGTGGAAATCTTCCTTTACTTCCTGCATATTCTTCAACCATGAAGCCTAATTCTATCCCAAAACTTGACAGACCCCACACCTAGAATAAAACACAGAAATATCAATCGGAGGGCAAACTCCTGCTCATCTTGAATGTCACAGCAAGCACCAACTCAGCAGCCACGTAGCCTACTCRGACCCTAGGGAACTGTTTTCAAAGGGCAAACACATTTGCTTTGAGTTTTCCAACTGCAAAAGCGCTTACAAACACTATAAACCTTGAATTAAAGCTGCTCTATAAAAGTCGCTTTTTTTCTTTGATTGGACGCAACAAAATACTTTCATTTATCGCAAGACTATTTCACTGGTAAGGTGCATAGCAGAGGAGGTGCCGGCCTGCAGAAGAACAGGTAACATCGCAAACTACAAATTGTTCAAAAAAACAGCTCACTTTGCTCCTTAACTCAGCATTTCAAGCAATTATCAAAACACATTTTCTTGCAAAACTGCTGAGACTAAAATCTGATTTACAGAAACAGCAACCACTCAGTTCCTGGATTATGTTTACATGAGATCATAGGCATGTTTTAAGTGCAGTTTCTCTGTAACTGGACAAAAGCCTGAAATGAGACTGTAGCCAAACTTTACAGCTAAAAGCAGCTATATAAACATGTGGAAAAAAAACCCAAAAAAGATAAACAATACCAGAAACAGCGTTTCCACACCTTTTCCTGGACAATGGCCACATACGGCAGGATCATCAGGACATCCTTCTGCCTGCAGAGCAATTCTTGGAGAATTAAAATTTCCGCTACCAGTGTTTTCCCACCGCTGGTTGGTAGCGAGTATATTAAGTTTTTCCTTTGTTGCAGAGATTCTAACGTTAAGCAATCGTGCTGCCATTCTGCAAAATTGGAAACACAARGTTACTGATCCTCTCTTCACCATGAACGACGCGCAACCAGCAGATGCCCATGCTAGGGTGTACAAAAAGACACAAGCTTAACACGATCACGTTTTGCATCACAAAAATTCTGTAACTTTCCAATGCTTGAGCCTTCCAAAACCTTTGCCTTGTTGTATTTCACAGGAGAGACTTTCTATACGCCACACTAATGTCTCATGCCCTCTGAAACTCAGTTCTCTTTCCCAGCTTCTAAGGGGGGGATATTTTGAGCACTGCTATAGCTCTATCCTTGCACCTTTTTAATTCAAACGATTGTCAGGGTGGCTCTTAAATGCAACAGGTGACACAAACTAAACATTCTGTCACGACAATTTAAAATCTTTTTTAACTAGCATAAGTACTTAGCTTCCATAATTGCAAACAATAAGTAAAACAAACAATAATTAAAAAAATCATATAAAAAAGGAGAAACTCTTTCATGATTTTTTTTTTTTTTTTTTTAAGAAAACTTCAGTGCTGTTACCATAAAGTGCTTCAATTCCCCGAAACTGCTTCAGGAGATCCTTTACTTTGCTGGGTAGCCCATAGAAAGGGCCAATATCATCACAAGAAGACTCAATAGCTTTCCTAGCAACACAGATCTCTTCAGATAAAACGGCTTCTTTAAGCTGCTTGGTCTTAGAAACCCGCGGGGCCTGAGCTTTGGCATTTCCACTCATAGCACTTTTTAGATGGTCTTTAAGACTCTCTCGTCTACTTGGGTCATGTTTAGAGCCCGCAGGCAATGCAGTCCCTCCTTCCCTCTGGTCTGCAGCACGGCAAAGAGAGGGATTTAGGATTTTGTCCAAGCAGGAATTCACGTAGTGCTCGTTCCTTTTTACACCTGCAGATTCTCCGGGAGCGCAGGAAAGCCCAGCCAGTTCCTCGAGGTACAAAAGCTGTGACGACGGGAGGTCGTCCAAGCCGAAGTCACCYGCCTCTTCACCGCCATGCAGGAGACGGCCGCCCTGCCTTGGGGAGCCACCCGCCCCGGCAGCTCCGTGAGCAGCCGCGCTGCCTGAGGCGGGAGCAGCCCGCTCGCTCCGCGCGGCTCCCGCCGCGGCGGGCACGGCCCCCTCGCCGCCCTGCGCCCGCTCCAGGGCCTCCAGCTGCGCCAGCACGGAGCCGCTCCCGCAGAAGCTGTCGTAGTCGCCGAACATGTCCTCCTCGCTGTCGCTGTAGGGCTGCAAGAGACAGACAGCGAGCGTTACCGCCCCGCGG